AATAAAATAAAATAAAATAAAAAGGTTGACTCAGCCTTCCATCCTTCCGAGGTGGGTAAAATGAGGACCCGGATTGTTGGGGGCAATATGCTGACTCTGTAAACCGCTTAGAGAGGGCTGAAAGCCCTATGAAGCGGTATATAAGTCTAACTGCTATTGCTATTGCTATTCAAATACTGGAATGCTGCCATCGTGTCCCCCCCGGTCCTTCTTTTCTCTAGGCTGGCCCTATCCAATTCCTGCAACAATATGTTTTTTGCCTCCAGGCCTTTGATCATCTTAGTTGCTCTTCTCTGCACTTTGTCCTAGTCTCAACACCTTTGTGGGGTTATAGCCAAAGAAGGATGTTTAGAGGACATACTGGGGCTGTGGTTAAAGTGAAAATAGGGCCCAGCCCTGAATGATTTCCTGTGGCATTCGAATGAACAAAACACGTTGGTTTAGTGACGATGTTGGCCAGACACACCTCTTCTTAGAATTGGCGCACACTTCTTTCATCTTCACGCTGTTGTCCCTTTAAGACAGTGTTTTTCAACCTCGGCCAGGAATTCCCCAGCCGCTTCTTGGCAACTCTATGATAGGTTGACTTCAAGGTCCAGTATTCCTCAGCTAGCTAGCCATTGGCTACTTTGTGATCGTGGACTTCGTGTCCCAGAATTCCTCAGCCCTTGGCAATTTTATGATACCTGGGAGAGTAGAATAGAGCTGGAAGGGACAGAATGAGAATGTTTTAACATATTAACAGAGTTGGAAGGGACCTTGTAGGTCATCTAGTCCAGCCGCCTGCTCAAGCAGGAGACTCTTCACCATTTCTGACAAATGGCAGTCCAGTCTCTTCTTGAAAGCCTCCAGGGATGAAGCTCCCACCACTTCTGAAGGCAACTTCTGTTCCACGGGTGGATTGTTCCTATTGTCAGAAAATGTCTCCTTATTTCTAGGTTGAATCTCTCCTTGGTCAGTTTCCATCCATTATTCCTTCTCTGCCCTTCGGGTGCTTTGGAGAATAGCTTGACCCCCTCCTCTCTGTGGCAGCCCCTCAAATATTGGAAGACTGTTCTCATGTCTCCCCTGGTCCTTCTTTTCATTAAACTAGACGTACCCAGTTCCTGCAACCGTTCTTCATATGTTTTGGTCTCCAGTCCCCTAATCATCCTTGTTGCTCTTCTCTGCACTTTTTCTAGAGTCTCTGCATCTTTTTTTATGGTGTGGTGA